TGGATGGTGTGCTCGGAGGACACAAGGGTTTATACTAGTCCGGGCGGAATATCCCTATGTCCAGTTTGCTGCTGCTCGTGTTACCGGCACTTGGTTTACAGTAGGGGTTACAAACAGGCGAGAGAGGGAGAGGTTCTCAAGTCTCTGGTGGAAGGAGTAAACAGGTGCTGAGAGCTCGCTTGCCGCGAAGCCATGTGCTCGTGTCGTGCTCTTGTGTTCAGATCCCCCTAGCATGGGGCGCCCTGCTTCCCCTTTTATAGGCGAAGGGAAATCGCGGATTACAGAGGAGGAAAAGGAGAAGAACGAGAGAGAGAAGAAGGCTTCTAGGGTGGCCGGGTCCTTCTTGTCCTTCATGTGGGTCCCGCTAATCTTGTAGATGTCAATAGGGATGGCTCCCTGTCGCGGCCCTGTTCGTCACTAGCGCCTTGCGCAGGCGTCATCTGCCGGTCATGGCATTCCACTCCGTCCCGGCGGATGTCGTGGTGAACTGACGCGCATGTCAGCGTTCGTTCGAGTATTAGGCAGAACAGCACCGGCACGTCCGACACTGTTCTTAATGTGAATCCCCAGGTATGGCCCGTCATGGCCACGGGTTACATCGAGGCGTGCCAGCCTCTTTCCCGGTGTTAGAGTTTTGATCCAGGCCCATACGCTTGGACTTGGTGTGGTTGGCGGCGGTATGGGTCCCCGTTGGACGAGACGGAAACCACGTCCTCGAGGTCGAGCGAGGCAGAGCCCATGACCTTGGGCGAGACGGAGCCCGCGTCCTCGAGGTCAGGCGATACGGAAACCGCGTCCTTGGGGTTGGGCGAGACGGAGCCTGCACCCAAGGAGTTGGGCGAGACGGAACTTGTGTCCTTAGGGTTGGGCGAGACAGAAACCGTGTCCTTGGGGTCGGGCGAGACAAAGCCCGCACCCAAGGGGTCGGGCGAGATGGAACCCGCGTCCTTAGGGTCGGGCGAGACGGAGCCCGCGGCCTTGTGGTCGGGCGAGACGAAGCCCGCAGCCTTGGGGTCGAGCGAGACCTTTTAATGTCTCGAGCCATCCGGGGAAGTCTGCGTGGACGCTAACTTTCTTGCTTTAGGTATCCCTAATATCGATACCCGACAGCCGTAGAAACCATCAACCTAGCATTCAACATGAGCCTTAAAGTTTATTTGATTTAATTGAATTAAAAATGGGCAAAGCCCAAATTGAATCCACCCAAAATAGACATCAATGATTTGTAAGATTCTAAGAGTTCGATAGGCTAACGAGGCTAGTTGTGGTGTATGTTACTTCGATATTTAGAGCCCAGTTCTTTTCCAACATTTTTCTCTGAGGCTTGGTCATTTGTGTTGATGAATAGAAACGAGGAGAAGCCGGTTTTTGTTGGGAGGGGGAGTGTGAGGATAACCCGACCTGGGAATCTGAGATCACCGGCCATCGGAAACGCAACACCAGATGAGACAGGACTGGACTCCGAATACTGCAGAATAAGCTGAAACTACTCTATATCTTTCAACGTACTACGTACAGCACACCACCTAATCTCCCGACGTGGAGACGTGGGACGGCGCCCGCGAGCCACAGGTTTCAGCCTTTGAGGCCGGCGCTTCGGGCGCTGTTGATCAGACGCTCAGGGCCGGTGCACCTGCTGTGTTCGTGCTCAGATATGAGTGACATGTCGACATTTCAACCGGAGCAAAACGGATGTTCTGGACCTGTAACCCTGTTGACTGACTAAATGGAGGAGTATGCTGCAGATCTAGCCGGGATATCAATACAACATGAATGAACATGTCCATGGGCCATAGCCGTGTTGCTTTGCTATTCGGCCTCGAGCATTACAGCTCGTGGGATCTTGAGTTGATGTCCCACAGCACCGTTTTCATTGGAACTGCTCCTTTCATATTAATTCGATGGAAATATTAGTATGACGAAGACACTCCCTTTTTGTACAGTAAGGCTAGCTAGCTAGCTGTACTTTTAACTACACCATGCATGTTCAAAATCTGAGTTCGGTGTGAAATTTTCATGGAAGAAAGTCAAGTTTCTTCCATGAAAAGAAGTCACCGATCATTTTATCATTGAGCGTGTGCAAAGCTTTGTAGGGTTTGGTGTCATCGCCTTTCCTTAGTCCGCGTTCCAGCAGGGTTTGGTGTTAATCTTCTACACGTGACAACTAGAAATAGAGTAGTCAATTCCAAAAAAGAGAAAAGATGCTTTTCACCAGATCGAATTTGAATTGAGATAATAAAAAAAGGGTTGATGCGCCGGTCCATGTGCGTCACATTGTCATTATTAAGGCAGCGTTTTATTTGTCGCCTTTAGCTTATCTCAGGTTTCCTAGTTTGTTTATATGGTCTTTCAAAAATGAGGCTTTTATATATGAAGTTCCACACGGGCTTTTCAATTCTAGAAGTATTCCTTCAAAGGCTTCACATATATTTGGTTCATTCACAACTCAAATGTCACACATTGATTAAGAACCTCGTGCTTTGCATTGTCTCTTAATTATATAAAACATATAAACACCCTTTTGTTTTATATCTATTAGAGTTTAGAATTTTTTTTAATTACAAATGTATTGCACATTCCTATAGTTATTATTTTGTATCTAGTACTCCTTCCATCCAAAAAAAACATTGATTATTCTAAAGTCAAGCTATCTTAAGTTTGATCAAGTCTATAATATACATATATTACCAAACAAGTATCGTTGGATTCGCATAAAATCTGTTTTACATAGTTACCTATTTGGTGTCACAAACATTGATAATATATTCTCTTTAAACCTGGTCAACTTACAATAGTTTGACTTGAACAAAAGTAGCGTTACCTGTTTTTCAAACAGAGAGCAGTAGATATTTATGAGATTTATTATTTGAAAAGACGAATGTACTGTGATTATGGATTTGTATAGCCATGTGGACAAATCAATATAAAGCAGGAGATTTCGCTCTTAAACAATCTTTGTGATAGAGGTCGAAGCTAATCATATCCTACCATAATAATCATGCCCTTTAAGTTCTTGTGACTTACTCTAACATCTCCATAGTTGTAGCATGATCAACATTGGATGATCATACCTCCGTCAAAGCTGACGAGTTCGCTCAAACAGATGCTGACCCTTTTGTTTCCAGGATGTAGTCGGGAGATGGTGTGTTATGGACGTCACAACGGAGGAGGCAGTTATAGGCCCAAGGCACCAATGAAAGAAATGCATGGACAAAATCAACTTGACTCAGCGAAACACCACTTATAATGATGTTTACAATATGGCCTCAAGGGCGTAGATGGCATTGTTCGGCTAGTCTATAAGCCGCTTGTGCTGATTTGTACGGCTTATATAAGCAGTCGAACACAGCCGATAGTACTACTAACTCCCATTAATATTATGCCTGGTGAAAAAGACAAGAAGAATAAGATTACTACCCCAGCTGCGTTTTCGCATCGGTCCAACCCTTTCCTTTCGCCCCGTCCCTCCGTCCGCCAGCAGCAAAGAAGTATCCCTCGTGTGGCAGCGAAACTGTTTGAGAGATGTCTCCCGTCGGTGGGGCACCGCCAGAAGCTAATCTGGTGCTTTTCGCACGCACCAACTGCACTCGCACGTGCTCTCCTGGTGTCTTTCGCGCCCAGAAATGGGTTGCGTGCGCTGCCGCGGACCCGTCTGGCCCACCAACGGAGAGAGCGGATGGAGCGAATTATTTGGCCACGCGCCCAGCGTCCTGGCAGCTTTGACTCCCGTGACCGTATCTGCTACTCCTCCCCTCCCCCAAATTCTCTCTCCTCACGCACAACCACAGGCGCAGTCATGCAGGCCGCTGCCGGTCTCCAGCACCGCTGCCACCCTGCTAGCTATGCCCCGCCCCGCCCAGCCACCCGCGTCGTACGCAGCCTAGCCACCACGCCATTGCCCCCCACCGCACCTGCCTCCAACGGCCGCCACCGCCCTAGCGACCGGTGTGGCACCCAGAAACCAGCAGCGCCGCCCGCTGCCCCCATCCACCACGCCATCGGCCTCAACCAACAGCGCGACCAAGCCTCCTGTAGTAGCTCCCTTCGAGGCCCCAAGGTGCTGCGACTTCGATTTCGATTTCTTTCCCCAGCGATTTTGTCCTGTTTAGATCGAAAATCAATTTTGCATCTTGTAATTAAGTTGCTTCCACCCTTGTTGATTGATGCTCTCATCTCATTTGTCTCCCATTTCGACTGCTCGCTTCGGGGCTTCTTTGCTCTTGCAGCAGCGGACGTCTAGCGGGAGCAACCTGGTCTACCAACTCTGGCACCCCCATCTGGTAGAACTCTCTTGTCACTGTCAAACAGCAAGGTCAGACCACGCCTTGTCTCTCCTTCCTGGTTTCCTTTCTCCCTACACGAATTATTATCTAGCATATATGTTCTTCATTTATCATAGCCTTGTTGTGGTGAATTAGTTGCTATTTGGTTGCTAGATGTTGTGATCTGCTCTATTTTGCGCAAATTTAGATATAACACAAATTTTAGTGACAAATTTTGCTTTTGTTGCTCTATTTTTGCATTGTGATTCACTAGTTATGGTGTACTAGCTGTATAGAAATTTGTTATTATGTCTTTTAGTGTTCTATTACTAGCTGTATATGAATTTTTATTTTGTTTGACTGAAGTAATTTGTGTTATGTCTAAATTGGTAATAGGTTCCTCACTGTGATCTGGTTGCCTGTTGCTGCTTTATTTGGTTCTGTCCGTGAGCTGGCATCGAAGTCTTGCACAACTACTATGACTCTGCTAGCTACTGGTTAGCTCCTATCTTCTGACTCAAGTTGGCAGATAAGATATGACAGATCGTGGAAGGATGTATAGTGGTTGGAAGCGTGGTAGGCTATCAAATGAATGGGTTGACAAAACAAAAGAGTTTTTGGATCATGCCTTCTCAATCCCTGAATTAGTTGAGTCTGATACAATTAGGTGCCCTTGTTCCATATGCCAGAATTTTTTCAGGCATAAAAGGCCTAGGATAGAGTTACATTTGTGCCACAATGGGTTCAAGGAAAATTACCAAACTTGGACAGCACATGGTGAGAGGCGGGGAAAACAGAACCTTGAGATTGGTTCTGAGGTAGAACATGAGGGATTTGGTGAGACAGATCGGATGGATGCTATGTTAGTTGACTTAGCTGGTGAACATCCACCATTAGATGATGAAACACCAACTAGTTTTGCCGAAGCCTTCTATAGAATGGTTGTTAGTGCAAATGAGTAAGTACATGAGCAAACCTTGCATTCTAGTCTCTCTGTTGTTGCTCGTCTATTGGCCATTATTAAATCACAGTACAATCTTTCAGTAGCATGTTATGATGATTATATGGAACTGATGCATGAACACCTTCCTCCTAATTCTAAGATTCCTAACAACTACTACCGGTCTAGAAAACTGCTAGAGGGCCTTGGTATGCCATACCATAAAATTGATGTCTATGATAAAAACTGCATGTTGTACTACAAAGATAACAAGGATAAGGATAAGTGTGACATATGCGGTACCTCTCGCTAGAAGGATGGATCAAATAAGGTTCCTCGTAAAGTGTTGCACTACCTGCCCATTACAGATAGGTTACAAAGATTATATGCACATGAGGGCATAGCAAAACTCATGCATTCACACAAAGAAAATCTAGCAAGCTCTACTAAAATGTTGCATCCATGTCATGGAGAGGCATGGAAGCAATGTGATGCTGATTTCCCAAACTTTGCAGAAGATGCTAGGAATGTAAGACTTGGTATTGCAACTGATGGGTTCACACCATATAAATTGAATGCACCTCTTACTTGTTGGCCAGTATTTTGGGTTCCCTATAATCTTCCACCTGGTGTTTGTATGAAGCCTGAGTATATATTCCTTGCTATGGTCATCCCTGGACCAGAACACCCTGGAAAAAACCTAAGTATCTTGCTCCAACCTTTGGTAGATGAATTGATAGAGCTATGGGATGGGATATGGACATGGGATGCTTCAGTGAAGCGAAGGTTTAAAATGAAAGCATCATACTTATGGTCTATACATGATTTTCCTACATATGGCATGTTTGCTGGATGGAGCACCCATGGGATTTTTGCATGTCCACAATGCATGTGTGATTCTAATGCATATCAATTACGTAAAGGCTGTAAGGCTACCTGGTTTGACTACCATAGGCGGTTTCTTCCAGTAGACCATCCCTTTCGGAGTCAAGAAAATGCTTTTCGCAAGGGCAAGGTAGTGTGAGATGGCCTCCCTAGGTACTTAACTGGAGAGGAGGTTAAGGCTCAGCTGTACAGACTGGTTGATGACAGAGACAAATATGGCAAAGAACACAACTGGATATATATATACGTTGGTGACTAATAATTGTTGTTATTTCTAGGATGACTACAATGAAGCATTGCAAGAAAAGTATCCAGAGAACTGGCAAGAGCAACCTTTTGATGGTCAAATTGCATATAATATTGGTCGTGGCTTGCCCCATGGTCGTCTTGCAATAGGAGATGGTGCTGTCAAGAAGGGTACAATAATTGATGCTGCTAAGGCAAGTGGGAGAAGGCCAGCAACCTCAAGGGCTTTTCAAAATCTGATGGCAAGATATGAGGAGTCAGTTGCAACCGTTGATCGCTTAACTCAACAAAATGCCACATTGACTCGAGATGTGAAGGGTAATGGTCGTGTACTTGAGGTATAATTTTGTTTTGGCGCACTATCTGTCTGCAATTGAACATAAAAAAAACTAATCATGTTGGTAATTCTTCACTTGTAGCTCATTATTAACCGTACAGATAGAGATACCACCTGACCTGCTTCAGGAAGAAGAAAATGAGATGGTAAGATTAAATCTTAAACTGTTTTCACTTATCCAACTAAATAATCATGTTTTTTTGTGATTTGTATGTTCCTTTCATAGTGAAATGTTTCTAGCCTTTATTTGGTACATATGGGCATTTATATTCATGATCCATATTAAGTTATCACATTGTCATACTTTAAATATATGTTTTTTGTGATCTATATGTTCCTTTCATAGTTAATTATTTCTGAAATTTATATGGTCTACATATTCTCATGAATGGTCATATTTATTTTGTTTTGGATATAGGGAGGAGCTATAGATGGATCCTCTCATGCTTCAACCAACCTGAACAACAGTGATGGCCATTGATTTGTATGATGGCAGGAAGTATTTAGTGGAGCTGTAGTCTTTTGCTCATCAGACTACAGGTTATGGCAACATCCACGGAGGGGCTATAGATGGATCCTCTCATGCTTCAGCCAACCTGGACAACAGGGATAGCCCGATTTGTGTGATGGCAGGAAATATTTTGTGGGCCGTAGTCTTTTCTTCATCGGACTACAGGTATGGCTACTACTAGCAAGTTGGAAGGGCATGTGTTGTGCATAGAGGTATTTTGGTCATCACACAACAAATGTAGATTCTGCATACTGCTATTCAAGGCATGTGTGCAAGACTGCTAGTTGTGAAGTAGCAGCTACATATTGTCTATGCACCGCATGCATCCTTGTGCAAAAACAACTACATATTGCCATCAAAGCTGCATTATGGTACCAGCAGATTGCTAGCTACCAGCAGATGGCCTCCTGAAGGGTCAAGGCATGTCATCTTGAAGCAATAGGTGCCAGATTGCATATTGAAGGCATGTATGTTTGTGTAGCAACAAGTTGTGTTGGGAGCTAGATATTGCCTTCATAGGCGCCTGTTAGGAAACTGCCATTTGAACCTGTGGCTATTATGTATCTAACTAGGAACCATACTTCAAATTGTGCTAGTTGTTAGGTACCTAACTAAAAGGCTAACTAGTCAAGCAAAGAATTATAATTTAGCTTTGGATTGAGTTGTATTTGTTATGAACAACTTGAATGATGTTTTAAGACCATCTCGTAATATTTATATTACTTGAGTATGGATGAATGGTTGAATGACTTGCTATATAATATTATTGCATTGAGTGGTTAAATTAGTCATTGCATTGTGAATTCTAATGGCTCAAATAAACTAAAATTTTTGAATGTGCAAATTGGTAGGCAGATCATTTCCTATCAGAGCTACCCTGACGGTATGTAACTGACAGGGAAGACAATTTTTTTCCCAGACGGGTTACTCTCCGACATGGATTGTTTGAATATATCCTGACGGTAAAGTAATCGACGTGGAAGTTGGAAGCATCCCTGATGGTTTTCTAGCCGACAGGAACTAGTTCTCGACGGGTGTCCAAAGAATCGTCGAGACTATGTCTTTCCTGATGGTTTAAGCCGTCAGGGAATAGTTACTGATGGTTTTCCGTCAAGAAAAGTACACTTTCCCTGTCAGTCTATCCTTGACGGCTCAACCCTGACGGTTACTGTCACGGATAGTCTTCCACGGATTTTGTCGTTTTCCCTGACAGTTGTGGCCGTCACGGAAAAACTGGCTGGGGTAGTGGATATGAAGCCAATGCACTGTACATGAGAACTAAGGTGTTTCCTAGAGGGGGAGGGGTGAACAAGCAATTCCCTACAAATCCAAACCTGTAGCAGAATAATTAGTTAGGTCTTGCTATAATACATGCTATTGTTTTTTACAAAATTTAAGGCGACCGATCTGAACCATCGGATCAGCATCTTGCGGCAACGGGGTCATCTTCAACCTCTCAGCTGCTGCTTTGCCAAGTTCCCGTGCACTCCGATCCCACGCTCCCCGCCTACCGCCAGCCTCCTCCCATCCTTGGCGGCATCCCTACCACTAGGTCCGCCTTGTACACTGCCACCCCGCGCTAACCTCAGAGCTAGCGCTAAAGCTCATCGTGCCCTTGCCCCCACCCTGGCTCGGCCATCCGGTTGTCCAGAACACACGATGACACCTCCATACCTACCTCCCTAAGCCCTTTCTTTCTAAGCCCATATCCATTGGAACCCCCTGAAACCCAAACTTCGAACCCAGGAAGAAGATGAACAGTGTCGCCTAAAATTTCCCGCGTATTTTCAGGTGACTAGAATGTAGGAGTTGTGTATTTTATATAGAACACGGTGATTTGGAAACTAATTATATTCTGTCGTAACCATATACTCTAACAATGACTAGTAGGTTGATCTCATTCATTCTCCAAGCTAAAATGACTTAAGTTTGTGAGAGCAACTCCAGTAGGAGCACCCAAATCAAGGCTCCTATTTCTGATTTGGGTGCTCCCCCTACTTTTGTTGTGAAAGGATCTAAACAATGCCTACAGGGAAGGTGAATAGGCGTATCTAAAAATTTCTATGTAATCTCAAAGTCAAATGTCAGTGATAGTCGGAAGTCCTCATAGTTTGGGCCGAAACTTCCGACAGACAGAAGTTCCGACGCAAATAGCCGGGAGTTCCGAAACCTACGAGAATAGCACTACAAGTGCTAAAACAAACTTTGAGTGAAAGATATCTTACAACCCCAATCCCTAGCGATAAGATGAAGTGCTGGGGTTGCTCCTTTGACGCTGGAAGGTCACCACTCCGTAGATCGAGTCCAAACCCTAAGAGGAGAGTTGGGGAGGAAGACAAACCAACAAGAACAAATATGATAGCACAAATCACAACAACAACAAGTACGTAGGACAGAAGAATTTATGCCAAGGTGCGGCAACCCCACAAAGGAGCTCCTACGTCCTCATTGTCGAGGAGACCACAAAGGTCGGAGTCTCTTCCACCTCCTTGCCTCTCTCAAAGCAACCACAAAGGTCGCTCGAGCTTTCCACTAAGAAATCAAGGGTAATGCAAACTTTCCAAGGCTTTTCCACAAGATGAAAGCTCTTGGGCGATGCCTAGCCAGCTAGGGTTGCTAGAACCCAAGAGTAATATACTCAAATCCAACCGGCTTGATGAAGAAATCAAGTGTTCAAGCTTGCCAAAGTGATTCTCTCACTCAATCCACTCTCCTTTAACTCAATACCCTAGGGGAATCAAAGATTGGAGCAAAGAGGAGAGGAGAGGGGAGCCTTGAATGCTTGGGAGCTATTTTGGATGAAGGTTGGTGAGCAATGAATGAGTGATGGCAGTTAGAAGAGAGGAGATAGCTATTTATACACAAAGGCAAATCCAACCATTCAAATCTGAGTCGGAAGTTCCGACACAGATCACTGGAACTTCTCACTCAACTCAAAATACTGTTCACACAGACAGTCCACTGGGCTTGCTCGTATATTGTCGGAACTCCTGGTAGTCATCGGGACTTCCAGCTTCTGTTGGGACTTCCGATAGCCATGGTAAAGCCAGGCGACTAAGTCCCAAAGCGTTGGGACTTCCGGCACCTGAAACTCCCGACTCCCATTAGGACTTCCGACGGACGAAGATGCGTAAGCGGCTAAGTCGTGAAGTGTCGGGACTTCCGGAGGGAGCCAGAACTTCCAGCACTCAGAACTCCCGACTCTCCTCGGGACTTCTGACGGGCGAAGATTCACAGGCAGGCTGCGGCTAAGTCAACAAGCGCTGGGACTTCCGGCACCAAACGTCGGGACTTCCGACAGCCGGAACTCCTGGCTCACGCCGAAACTTCTGACTAAAGTCCACAAACTATGTCCAAGTGTTTGTGAGGTGATTTTGTGTCTCTCTTTTGATTTTACTTTTATGCTTGAGCACTTTATCTTCCTCAGACCACCTAAACTTGCATCCCTCTTATAGTATGGCATACCTAAACCCAAAACAAAATAAAAAGGCTTTGGATAGCGCTTTGGGTTCGTTCGCTTTTTGCACTTGAAGAATTGAGGGATACCATTTCATCTTAGATAAACTCTTTTAAATCTTTCAAGGGACTAAAGCTGCGATATATCACATTAAGATCTCATTAGTCCCTAATTTGGATGTCATCAATACACCAAAACCCACATAGGGGGCAAATGCACTTTCATGTTGGCCCCCCTACTTTTGCATCTGCTCCAGCATAAGCCCCCAAATCCTTTTTAATAGACACTACCAATTAGGACCCACCTGTCATCCTTAGTTCTTTAACAACTAAGCTATTTTAATGTACAAGGATCCACAGGGAAGAAGGAGCGTGAGTGGAGGAAGGAGCATGTAGTGGAGGCCCACTGCAGGGAAGGAGGACCTCATCGCGTCCGCGGGGAAGAGGCTCGACGGTCGACTATGGGGAGGGGAGTCTCGATGACCATGGTGAAGGAGGATCCGCGGGGGAGAAGGAGCGCGCAGGAAGGAAGAAGCGTAGCGGTCTCGGGGAAGAGAGCCTCAAAGACCGGCCACGCGGAAGAAGGACCTCATCGTGGCCGTGGGAGAGGAGGCACGACGGCCGGCTGCAAGAAGGGGAGCCTCGACGGCTGTGGGGATGGAGGATCCACCGGCCTGAGCTCGCCGCATGTGCTCGGGAGGAGATCCACGAGATGGAGCGACTCTCGTCGGCGGCAGAGGGAGGCGGATGGCTAGGGCCCACTTGCGCTAGGGGCGGAGTGAGTTTCGAGGGCGCCCTTGCGTGGGATCCACTATCGAGTGTCGCGGTTCCGCACAGGCGTAGGGGACAAAATGGCCGCAATAGGCGGATGGGGGCCGGGGGATGAGCCCTAGGAATAGGGGCTGAGGGGGTGATTTGGGTGCCCACCCAAATTTTGAGGCCCTACAGGAGAACATTTTTTTGGCCTGAACCTCCATATTTAAATATGGGGGCTTAAGTAGAGGTCCTGTTAGAGTTACTCTAAGTGGTGAAATTTAATAAACTTATGGCACGTTGGAGTTCAGACCTTGTTTTGTTGTTAGTGCTAGGTAGGTATGTATTGGTTGTGATATCAAATTACGTGGATCACCACTACTACAAAAACGATTTGTAGCAATGCCTCCTTTTTTCGTAGGGTACAAATGGTGCCCAAACGAGCCACCCCTACAAGTCCATTTGAAAGGACTGCTGGTGTTATCAGCCACCTCTACAAATGGGCTCGATTTGTAGGGGTGGTTCTATATCCAGCCGCCCCTACAAATAGACGCCGAATAGTAAATATTAAGCACTAAAATTTGAACTTTTTCAAATGATCTCGGATGGAGAAATGACCAAAATAAAAGTTATAGATCTCAAAAAGTTATGGAACTTTGATGTTTACAACATTTTCATTTGAAATCATTTACCACTTCAAAATATTGTTTGAAATTCAATTTTAAAATTGTTGAAGAACTGTGATTTCTCTTTTTAATCTCTAGCTAAAACTTGTAACTAGTTTTTCTCCCTCGTACTAACTTCAAATTTGATGATTTTTTTCTTAAAATTTTCTAAAATCATGCTCTGTCAATTCATTGTGTTCTTGCAGCTATTATTTTGTCCATCTTTTC